ATATATATATATATTAAATATTGTTGCTAAAGTAACTTTATATATTATATCATTGGCACATATTTTGGTTGGCACACCATTAAGATGCCCTGTGTGTCAACCTTTTTACCATGGAAAGAATTACCGATTATAGTCCATTTTCGACCCATGATGATAACTGCTTGGATCGAATATATTTTACAAATATACTTCTTATAGAAAAATTGCATAATTATATTTTCCCATATAAAAAAAGTATTTTACACAATATTTTTATATAAATATAAATATAATAAAAAATTTATGCAATTTTTCCATAAGAAATATATTTGTAAAATATATTCGATCCGAGCAGTTTCCGTATCATGGATCGAAAATGGATTACAGTCGGTAACTCATTCTACGGTAAAAGGTTGGAACATCCATTAAGATTTACTTTGTATATATGGGATGTCCGGTCCGGTCCGGGGTATTGGTCATATCATCTGGGTAGGTAGAGCTGGTAAAACTGAGTAGAAAAGCCCTCTATCATTTTGCAATTTCCGCGATAATTATAGAGTTATTATTTTTTAAACTTTCTAAAATCACCGTATTAGCCCGGCGATCATCATTCCTAGAGGAATTGTTTTCTTCAAGCGGCAAATAGCACGAATCACTCGTAATATATGTGCATATGTAATATATGTATATGTGTGTAATATATGTATACATGCATATATGTATAATACACGTCACATTTATCACAATTTTATATTGGTGTCATACCTGGCTGTAAAATTGATCATAACACGCTGTAACAAAATGATTAGTAGGAAAGATGTAAATCTCAACATGTAACAATTCATTCAATTGAATTAAAAATTCTAAATAGAACTATAATAAATAATATTGCATTCAAAACATTTAAAATTTTAAACATACATAGCATGTAAAGGAGCATGTAAGTTAAAATGTAATATAAATTTAAACATGCTTATCACTATTACTTTAACATGTATTTTAATGTGATAATATAATGTTTCGATCAAATGTTATAAATATTTTATTAACCTTCACTATTTTATTAACCTTCACTATTTTATTAACTTCAGTGAAAATTTTTATTTGTTTTAAATTATAAGATTTTAAAAATAATATTAATAAACTTCTAAATAAAATTTATCTTTTATTAAAAATATTTAAAAGTTTTATTTCAACTTTTATATTAAATCCAGTTTTCAGTGTGTTGTCTATTTGCAACACACAACAATGTTTATAACAGTTTATTAAAATTAGATTTGCAATCTGTTATAACACACAATAGGTATATTCGCAGCATTATACGATTGGACAGGATTAAGTAGTGCTTAATTGCTAATAATTACTAATAATTTACTTATAGTATTTTTTATCATATTTTGAATATATTCAAGAAATCATTTCTTGACTAAATTTAATTTCATAAAGATTTGTTATTACATTGATGATTTAGGAAATCTTTTAAGAATAACAAAAACTAGGTATAAGAATGCTCTATGTAAAATACATAACGCCTTGAAACTTTGATAAGACATCAAAATGTACTCTTCCGGGATATCCCGTTATCTCCTTTCAATCGCGCAAAATAGATCACAGTGTTATTTAATAGACTAATCATTGGTAACGTTTCTACAAAAGATATTGACATCGATGTTGATAATCGTTACAATTTATTCTTATTCTTTATTCTTATATGTACATATGTGCCGACAACCGAATATGAAGAGACAAATTATGTACAGAGTCTGCTAATATGCTAAAAAAATTTCTGATGCTAGGAAGACAACAGATTCTGTAATATTCATATTCATTGATATTGGCGAACTGCTACTAGAAATATGACAGAATCTGTTACTTGCCAGCAGACTGGCAGCAGAAATTAAGCAGAGCCTGCTAAACTGACCGGCCGACAGATTGGCGGCAATAATTGAACAGAATCTGTGTACAACACAATTTAATAACAGATTGAAATCAGAAATCAAGCAGACTCTGCAATCTGCCGACAGATTTTAACAATCTGCTTGATTTTGTGTTGTTAGTCTGTTGACTAGAATGTTAACAGATTTTGTTAAGAAAACGTAAAAGGAATGCGAAATGAGCTCAATCGACTAACATTTTCTCAAATTTGTTGCCAGTCTACCTATATTCTACTAACATTATGCTGACTGGAATAATATCATTCTGTTCATTTTGCAAAGAAAATAAATAATTGCATCTGCCGTAATACTATATGCGCAAACATTTTGTCCAAAGAGATAAAATAATAAAATGTACAAATCAATGTACATATGGATATATAATATTTTATTATAATCTTTATGATCAATTATTGTCATATGTTTATGTCTTATAGTCTATAAAAAATATGTGATATTTATATTATTCATATTATTTGTTACTTATATTTTTTATAATCATACGTTTGTTCTCACAGTTGTCATTTGACAGCGAACTCGGAGTAGGAAGATCGTGATTCTAAGAAATCTATTATCTTATCATTTTATCCTTTTTTCATCAGAGCATGGTTTAAAAATGTTATAATATAGTGCCTTTTATTCTACCTGTACAATTTTTAATTGTGAGAAATAAACTCAGCTACATCCATCTATCGACACTGTCATGTACTATTCGCGTGCTATGAGTGATTTATTTTTTTCGAATTAATTACGAATAGAAAAAGAATTTTTTTCAGAGCAATTTTGATTTAACTTCACAAAAGTTAAAATGTACACTTCTATAAAATCCTTTTTGAATTACCGGAAAGGAATTTTCTCTTTGAGCTCATCAACAATCTGTATCGTTTGGGATGTTATAACAGAAAGAAGCCTGAAAGTGATCATGACTGCGTTTTAATTGTAATCTTATTCGCATAGGTAATGTGTACGATTTCGTGGTTCTCTTTCGTGCTAGGCGCAAGAGTGATAAAGACGGACAGTCGTGTCCATATCGTCCGTCTTTACCACTCTCAGGCTTCTCTCCGGTTATAATATAAAGAGACTTCTCGCTGGTAGATAATGAAGAGCACGCAGCTCAGCTGTGAGCATTTGGCATGTGTGTTTCCACGCAGGAAATGATTCCCACGCGCACTTGACGCAACGGGACAACCATCAGGTGAAGAGGTGCCAGACGATTCTAATGTCATCGCTACGCGAGAGAGTCGATACGTAACGAAGATCCGGATATGGGGAAGACTACTAGGGTAGTCGTTTGTGGGATGAAAGGAGTCGGCAAGACCGCCCTACTGGAGCAGCTCATTTATGGAAATATCAGCGCGAAGAAGGTATGCGCTTAGGTTATATCGCTATGATAAGTGTACAGGATTCCTAATATTGAAATTCTAATCTCGATCGCAGGAAATCCATCCCACAATCGAGGACATTTATGTCGCCAACATTGAGACTGATCGTGGCACAAAGGAGAAAGTCAGGTTCTACGACACAGCTGGACTTGAATCTTTACAGAGCAATGTAAACAATCAGCAGCTTCCACGACACTACCTTGGCTTCGCTGACGGGTATGTCCTGGTATACGACACTGGCAAACCTGAGTCTCTCGACGTGCTCTTTCCGCTCAAAAAGGACATCGATAAGAATAAGGATAAGAAGGAGATAACTGTGATTGTAATCGGCAATCGGACAACGAAAACCGATGCCGTGCTGAATAATTTAGAAAACACTGCGAGTAAAGCGACTAACTGGTGCACTAGAGAAAAGATTAAGCATTACGAGGTAAATGTCATGGATAGGTCTACCCTGTTCGAGGCATTTGTATATTTATCATCCAAGCTGAACCCTCCCACTAATAAAAGTACATTTTCACAACTAAGTATGGGTAGAAAGACTGTCAAAACCGAAGCACAGTGATGCATGACAATTCAATGGCATTGTATAAACATTAAGGTAGTTGCAATATATGAGTCCTTTGTGAATTTCGTACTCAGGTATAATGTATTTAACAATGGCGAAATGCCGCAATATGGATGTGCTTTGAGATCTCAATAACAATTGTACATGTATTTTTTTTTTTTTTTGTTAACTTTGGATGTATGTGATATTAGGCGTGAAATGGATAAATGGATATCATGGAATAATAGATACCATGAGTTATGTACTTAAGATACCAACTTTGCTGGTCCAAAGCCTTTAGTATAACATTTATTTAATCAAGTGAATATAAATGCAAAGCTGTCAAAATACAAATTTGTCAATATTTTATTTTACGACTCTCTATATTAGTGTATTATCTTAAAAACTTACTATTTAATTACTTAAATATGCTATAAAACTCTAATGAATCTCTTATCGATTTATGTACTTAAAGCGATGGAACTGAGACTTATTAAGTTAAGTTTATACAAGGCGCAATTATTTGTAAAAGATATTATGTACTTATAATTGTGATTATATTATAAATAAGTTATTATTTATACAATAAAAATTGATCAAATGAATATTATATCAATAAATATAAATATTGTGGCAGTTTCTTCATTGTCACTTCACCATTTTAAAGGTTCTTTTAATTTTCGCAAACTTAAACTCGTTTTGAATAATCGATCCCACAATTCACTGGTAACTCCAAATCCTGTAAGAGATAATAGAGTTATTAATTTCTTGTATATTAACAGTAATTTCAATTAATTACCTTGATCATGGTGTACAAAGTGATGATAATTGTGTCTTCTTTTCATGGTGTATAGATATGATCCAGCTTTTGGTGCACCATTATGCAAGTAATAGTGTATCAAATCGTAACACAGGTATCCTGTAAAATAAATACATTCGGTTACGCAACTTATTAATTTTGATATAATGTATATTTTAATAAAAATAAAAATTTATAAATATTTAAATAGAATACCCGTCATAGTACCAGCGGCGATAAGATAAACTACAGTTAGCGGGAATACGGCCTTATAAAGTTGCCAAATAATTGCCGCCGCAAATACACTGAATGTCGGCGGAAATACTAATCTTCGTTCATCTAATGGCGCCTATTGATATAAATCTGATTTATAATAGATAAAATTAATATATGCTTAAAATATCAAATGAGCGTCCGCGGATTTTACTTTATGATGGCTTCCATGGAATAAGAAGTGCAGAGTAATCAGTAACTTCGAATTATGCGGCGGTTGAAAGTGAAATACTTTTCGATGAACAAAATATTCCACAACGGTCCAGATAAATATTCCAAAAACGAATGACGGTAAAATATTTTGCATCGTGATTGCTGAAAAGAGACATCTTTTATGTATGTGTTGCGTGATATTGGAACTTGCGCAAAACACGTTTAAATCAAATCACTTTGTGCGGTGTTACTTTATTATTATTTCTTTAAATAAATTTCTGTAAATATTACGATCTGAATTACCAATATTTGTCGAAATTTTTGATACACAACCCATATAAAGAAAATATGCAATTATGGGTAACCAAACAATTGGTAAGATATACCATGGTGTTACCGACAATATTTCTAAAATTTCTGATTGGAAGTATCGAATAGGTCGGTCTACTGGAAGATTTACCCATTCCCAGTATCGATCGCCCATAAAGCCCACTTGCCACAGGATTGGCGCCTTCCAGTTTATCAGATTCTGAAATAAAGATTTCATAAGCAACAGTTTGGTAAAAAAATTATGATTTATTTGACGCACGATCATTTTCATCTTTTCAGCGTGCGTTTTTTATTAATTTGTTATAAGCGTTTGAATATTATAAAAATAACTTTACGATATTGCGAAATCAAATATGTGCGGTTTTATATCAACTTATCTCAATATTTTTTTATCTATATATCGTGAATGTACGTTTCGTAGAAATGAGATAAACTTGGAGATAAACCAATCCTACTAGATAGATTTCACATGTTACGTGCAAATTATTTGACAAGCAATGTAAAATATTATTTTATTTTTAGCTTATAGAAGAAATGTTCTTCATCATAATATATAATTTGATAAATGTTTTCTCTGTTATAATTAATAATGATTATTTTTTTTTTATTTTTTGGACAATCTTTTGTATCAAAATGTACAAGTAGGTTTTTTTAATTTAACTAAAATGTTTTACTTAAGAGCTACGAAAATTATCATACTTCACCCGTGTCTTTTGTAATATACATTAAAACTCACGCATACAAAACACATGGCATAATGGCATAATGGTATTAAATTATAAATAGAGTCACATCTACTGACACTCGATGCAAATTATAGATAATTTAAAATGGATATCAATAAAGACATCAAGGTCCGCACGTGTGATATAACGTACGCATATAATTATTTATTTTTTGTAATATAAATGTTCTGTTATTTCTCATTTGCAAATCACTCACTTCGCATTCATTATATCTCTCTTGATGCTGGACAGCAAACTCCTCGAGAAGATAGTAGGCGG